TTTCAAGGCTTTAGGCATGTTACAATATATATATATATATTCAGGCAATGTCATGTAGGAACTTACCTGATGTGGAAACTGAGCAACAGATTTTTTCAGAGTTTCTAGTAAAATTAATTCTGACACATTTAATATTTCAGTATTGCCAAAATCAACAAATATCACCTCAACCTGAAAGAAAGCAAAATATAACAGCGAAGAATTCACTTGAACATTACTCAGGTACTTGCACAATATTATCTTAAAACATAGATATAAACTTAATGATTTAAAGCAACTGTATTACTCTGCAATATATTGGTCACTGCAATGAATTAAATACAGCAAAACATAATGTTTGCTCTAAATGTGTCAAGATATGCTTTGGCATTTAAATTCAACAGTCACCTTTCTTCTAAAAACATGTCTGATGGCAATCTTACGCTTGGTTTTAGCCTCAATGTTAAAATACAAAATGCACTGACAGATATGCATCTCCTGACCTGTGACAAGCCTGCCAGTATGCACAAATTACTTTTTAAGTATGTGTGCTGGCTGATAGAGCGCCTCTGTGGTCTAGTAGACAGAGTTCCTGGCTACAAATCCAGAGGTCCCGACTTCGATTCCCAANCAGACACAGGTGTAATACTGAACAATAGAGTGAAGACAACACAAGCATGTAAAAGTTATCCCTGTTAACAGGCAGTGGAGGCCCATAGGGTTGTGAGATGTTGAGGCTCCCACATTCTGTAGACGATCAACAAACAGATGGTGATGGGGTTGTAAGCCTTACGCACCAACAGGCATCCCTTTACCCCCCAGGAAGATTCTTAATACTCATTTCTGTTAGAGGATAAGTCGACCCCAGGGCCATAGTGCGGCTGGAAGGATTAGGTCAATTGTGGAGGTTCATAATGAGGTTGGGGGGTGATGATATGTAGTCTCATATGTGTATACCCATATTTCAAAGGAACATAATACATCCATCTTCAGGGTAGAAGATGGAGGTAGTATGCTCCTCCGAAATGCTGTTGTACCCAGACTACATGGTGTCATAACTCACAAGGCCAGAACATGTATCTGTTTGCATATTTCAATGCATTAACAAACTGTCACATCATAGTGACTAGACACAAGGTTGAGAACAGTAACTGAATTTGATACTAATGACTCTTATTTACGGGTAATTACATGTTCACAAGAATTTAAAACTCCTCACAGTTCAGAATTGCTGGGTTTTGGACTTTTCCCATCGTCTGGTAATCTACAGACTAGAAAACACAGTAATTCTGAGTGTACGGCCGCACCATAGCTCAAGCTGTTAGTCAATGGGTTCCCATTGAGACGGCCTGGGTTCAATCCCGGGTCTGGTCAAGTGGGATTTATGCTGGTCAGTGTGGTGCTGGGGTAGGTTTTGTCTGAGTACTTCAGTTTCCCCTGCCAATCTTCATTCCACCAAATTCTCCATCATCATAATCACCCAGGGCAGGTACAATAGGTCAATCAGTGGCTGTGGTGCTGAGTGGACCAAGCTGGACTCTACTTCCCCACTAAGCAAATTCTGAGAGTTATACACCACTGTCAGAACCCCCTAGACTCTACTTACTCACAATTCATCATATCACTCTTGGTTAGCTCCTTACCAACATCGTCACAGAAACATTGTTAAGTTTTGGGCTGTAATAGTGTGTTTTTGCCCTAACATTTCTGTCCTCTATAGGTGTGCCTCTGGGTCAGGTCAGGTAAACTGCTGATGGCCCTCACCAGCAAAATCATTCTTGGTTCCGAGTCCCGCAGGACTCATCAGCATATTTTACTGGCTCACGACTCCAGGATCTGTGCAAATTACTGACTGCCTGACCGCTAAACTGCTGCTGGTCCTTGCAAGCACAGTGATCCTTGGTTCTGAGTCCCGCAGGACTCAGAACCATATTTTACTGTCAGATGGGTCCCAGAAAATTCAGACCACCTCTTGTTGTGTGATACAACTCACTCCACACACGGCTTTATGACAGTTTGTTGTGGACAAATCATATATGCACTTGTCACAAACACGTGTTTTAATGGGCCATTGCAACAGTTCCTCTGAATCCAATTTTCAAGGCTTTAGGCATGTTACAATATATATATATATATTCAGGCAATGTCATGTAGGAACTTACCTGATGTGGAAACTGAGCAACAGATTTTTTCAGAGTTTCTAGTAAAATTAATTCTGACACATTCACTATCTCAGTATTGCCAAAATCAACAAATATCACCTCAACCTGAAAGAAAGCAAAATATAACAGCGAAGAATTCACTTGAACATTACTCAGGTACTTGCACAATATTATCTTAAAACATAGATATAAACTTAATGATTTAAAGCAACTGTATTACTCTGCAATATATTGGTCACTGCAATGAATTAAATACAGCAAAACAGTATGTTTGCTCTAAATGTGTCAAGATATGCTTTGGCATTTAAATTCAACAGTCACCTTTCTTCTAAAAACATGTCTGATGGCAATCTTACGCTTGGTTTTAGCCTCAATGTTAAAATACAAAATGCACTGACAGATATGCATCTCCTGACCTGTGACAAGCCTGCCAGTATGCACAAATTACTTTTTAAGTATGTGTGCTGGCTGATAGAGCGCCTCTGTGGTCTAGTGCTCAGAGTTCCTGGCTACAAATCCAGAGGTCCCGACTTCGATTCCCAACACTATCAGATTTTCTGAGAAGTAGTGGGTCTGGAATGGGGTCCACTCAGCCTCATGAGGATAACTTAGGAGCTATTTAAAGGAAATAGGGGTTCCAGTCTAGAAAACCGAGATTAACGGCCATGGGGATCTGTTGCACTGACCACGTGACACCCTCTATCTGCAAAAGTTGGCACTAACTTTGGCGAAAAGCAGGAGTCGCTCGGTCAGTATAGTTCGTTTGCGGACTAAAAGCCACGGATTTTTTTTGTGGTGGCTGATAAAAGGCACCATTTCAACACCTACCAGCAAAAATCTGATACACATAAAAATGTAACTTTCCTAATGGTTTCCTTGTGAGAACATCCAAATATACTATGTTTACTCCATACTTTTGCCAATACATACAGTAGCCAAGGCTGTTAAACACTGTGTATATGAAGGGGGACCCAAAAATAACCGGAAACAACCTGTTGCGCGCGCATGCTTTGTAGTTACGAGTTGTGCTGCTAGGTGGTGTTAGCTGGGGGTCTCCTGCGACTGTTAGTGAGCTGGCGTCAGTCTGAGTTAAGTGGTTTGTCTGTGGTGCTCTGTTGTGTGCGTTCCTGTTTCAACCCTTTGGCGATTAGTGAGATGGCCGACCAGAAGGAACAATTCTTTTGTGAAATTCTGGATCGTTCTGCACTTCACTCTTCAAGTCGCAGCAAACATTCACGCGGTCTTCTCTTTGGTCATCTCCGATCAAGCGAGGAACAAATTTTGCAGACACCCGTCTCATGTGCAAACCTTCGGTTAAAATTCGCTGGACCGTGCTCCATGAGATGTTCGTTTCCTCAGAAAGTTGGTCAATGGTCTTTCGACGATCTTCATCAATTGCATGTTTGATTTTGTTCCTTCTGGTCGGCCATCTCACTAATCGCCAAAGGGTTGAAACAGGAACGCACACAACAGAGCACCACAGACAAACCACTTAACTCAGACTGACGCCAGCTCACTAACAGTCGCGGGAGACCCCCAGCTAACACCACCTAGCAGCACAACTCGTAACTACAAAGCATGCGCATGCAACAGGTCGTTTCTGGTTATTTTTGGGTCCCCCCTCGTATACTCAGTAGACTGATCCTCATGAGAAGAAAAAGAAACCTGTTACTGTACCTCTGTCTGTCCAAGCTTCTTCGTGATGGCAGCTCGATACCAGTTGTCGTCTTGGTGGTACCGAGCCAGATACAGTCGTGAAGGATCAGGATTATATGCACTAGATCCCTTTACAATATCTCCTTTGAGACAATTTTCTGTCACGCCAGACAGAAGGGATTCCAGGTAACTATAGCTTTTGAATTGCAGGAACACGTCCCCCGAATTGCTCACATGTGATATATACACTTCCTGTACTTTACCTTCCTGAAACAAAATCAAGACAATTCAATTATCTGGAAACTAAAACATAAAGTTGTGCTTAATCACTGAAACTAGACATCATATGGGTGAAAACTTTAAATTGAGGAACACAAAATTGGGAGTGCAATGTATTTACACTGCCTAATAAGAAACATAGCTGTTTTGGTGGGGGACTTACCGCTGGTAACTGGGGTGCCACTGCATCCTTACTGATACTGTCTATCAGAACAGTGTTCAGATTTAAATCCTCTTCTGTGCTTGTATCAAACAGCACGATACCAGCTTCTGGATTCTTTTCATTTGGACGCGACATTACAGAAGCAATCAGTACCTTACCGACAATGGTATCGGTAATGTGGCGTGTCGCATTCTGATCGTCAGCAAAGTGTTCCAGGCCCCACAAGAAACAATGGATAGCCTGAAAGCAGTAAATCATGTTGTTAACATATCAAAGGGAGGAAAAAAATTGTTCGTTCATCAGCCATCCTACTGTCAAACACTAACCTGTCTCAATATTGAAACCATCATTAACTCGTAAGATTTGAGGCTTTCACGGCGGTGACTATGGAGAAAGCAGTCTTCTGGGATTTGGTACCGTGTATATGTTGTGTTAACCGACGTTTCGGAGGAACGTATCGCCTCCATCTTCAGGGTAGAAGGAAAAATATAAGAAATCCGCAAGCTTTTACCCGTTTTCACGGTCTCTTCGCTTGCGGATTTCTTATATTTTTCCTTCTACCCTGATGATGGAGGCGATACGTTCCTCCGAAACGTCGGTTAACACAACATATACACGGTACCAAATCCCAGAAGACTGCTTTCTCCATAGTCACCGCCGTGAAAGCCTCAAATCTTACGAGTTANGACTCACACAAATGTATATTTATACAAGATTGTGAGAATGGAGCGGTACAAGATTCAAAATGCAGTTACATATACCTGTGCTGGCAGTCTTGCAAAATGCTGTTCCAGTAAATGCAATTGATTTAAATCAACATCCTCTTCATCTCCGTGATCAATGAAAAATACCCGTCCTCTGGTATGTGTTTCATCCATCTCCACTAACTCCACGCGATGCCAGCAGTCATCCATTTTTATAGCATAAAATGAACCTATCTTTGGATTGACTGCTACGTTAACTTGTCCCATGTAAAACATCTCCATGTCTGTAGCCAGATTTTCATATTTCACCTAAAGAAGAAAGAATTCAGTAGATGAAGGAAGAACCAAAAGTTTCTTTAGCCTTGCAAATGAGTCTGAACAGATCTGAGATATAAGTCATAACCAATGCATAAAATGCAAGACAGTGGACAAGATACAACATAGACAGGTGGCCAAATTAAAGATGCCTGGTCATGTTTAAACTGATGTATATTTACCAGTTCCACAACAAATACAGCAAATTACAGCATGTGGCTGACTTCTTACAGGGGTAATCAGTTCCACAGGCTTCACTGTTCAATAGCAATAAGGAAAAAGGTAAAAAAAGGTAAAGTGAATTCACACGGTGTCCACTATAAGTTACAAGCATCTCCTACTTTCCCCTCACACAAGAGGCACCATTGACCCCTATAGTAAACCAATAACAGAATCTCACACTATATTCTTCTCCAATCAGCCGACCCCAGATCTCGTCAGTTGAATTACCACATGTAATGAACATGTCCCATTCATCGTGATCAGGCAATGTGATGGGCTCTGGTACAACAGGTTCAGCAGAGCTCAGTGATGTCTCCATTGCAAATGCAGGTACTTCAATAATCGGGCTCTGAAAAATGGCGACAGTCAATGTCAACGGATAAAAATACATCAGCTGTCATAGTATTAGCCAAAATTTACTGTCAGAATTTTAACATGGAAATATTTTGTTCTCAGAACTATAACTATACATTTAAGGTAAACTATCCCTGTAACAGGCCGTGGAGGCCCATGGGGTTGTGAGATGTCAAGGCTCCCACATTTTCTCTAGACAACTGGCTCTTAGATGGCGGTATGGTTGTCAGCCTTACGCGCCGGCCGCCCTTTACACCTCGGGAAGATTCCTGGTACTCATTTCTGTTAGAGGCTAAGTCAACTCCAGGGCCATAGTGTGGTTGGAAGGATTAGGTTAATTGAAAAAATCCACCTCATCGGGACTCAAACCACAACCTTCTGGCTTGTAGCATAGTGCATCAACCAACCATGCTACTGTGTGCCCCCCAATTATACATTTAATTTCTTTAATTACAAAAATACAAATGCTATAATGTGCATAACAAATTTCATGAAATGGCTGAACATTTGTTACTGGGGACAAACAGATGGACACAATTACACCATAAGTTTGTATTTTGTTATAGATTATGGGAAGCACATCAAAATACAAGTCTAAAGTTGGAGTTTCATATCCTAAAAATGTTTAAAGCTTAGACACAATATAAAAATCTTAAAACTGGGATCATCCCCATGCATCACTTTACATCTTTCCTACAATGGATAGCAGGCAAATTAGTGCATTTTAAAACAAAAAGAGTATTATTTTCTTCCCATTCAAAGTATCTGCTTAACAAAGATATAAAATTCATATCAGTTTTCCGGACAACTATTTAGTACTGCCACCACGAAATACAGAAATCACGCACTAGCCAGGAGAAAAGAATACAATTACTCACAGAGTCCCACTGCGACACACAGCCTAAATTCAGCTTCGGGCCTTTTAGAATATACATAATCACTTAGCACATCATGTGACAATTGTTACGTAAGCTCATTCTCACACAAGTGCAAAGTGAACTACCAACATGCAACTGCTGAAGTCTACAGCACGCTCATTTAGTGCAATATACAGAGAAACTGATTCTGCACTCTGGGAATTTCACATGCCTTGTGCTTTATTCTATCCAGATGTCTACAAGATCATTACATTTTAACTAATTTTATGTTTCACTCTGATTTAATCTTCATTTCCTTAGCTCTGACAATGGAAATGAACTTCATTTTCACACTTAAGTGTTCTACTTCAGAAAATTCAAAGAACCATGACGATCATTCCCGTCACATTCAAGGTCTGTCCTAGTAACACATGCATATATTTCTATATATGAGCCTCAGTGATGCAACAAAGTTATATAAACTAAAGAAGAAATAAAGACATGGGGGGGGGGGGACTAAATAGTTAAAGAACTAATACGGACTGTAGGTTTGTGTATTTGCATTTACAATGTTAATGTGTTTAGATATAACAATTTAAAAGGCTTAACAAAATGAAGATACAAAGTAACCCATATTTTTCTTTACACTGCGTCATTTTACACCTTCCTTGATTTTACATTTATGTTAGACAGTCAATCCGAAAGTATGAAATCAAGGTTTCACACTTTATGTTAGACAGTCAATCCGAAAGTATGAAATCAAAATTTCACACTTTATGTTTCACACTTTATGTTAGACAGTCAATCCGAAAGTATGAAATCAAGGTTTCACACTTTATGTTAGACAGTCAATCCGAAAGTATGAAATCAAGGTTTCACACTTTATGTTAGACAGTCAATCCGAAAGTATGAAATCAAGGTTTCACACTTTATGTTAGACAGTCAATCCAAAAGTATGAAATCAAGGTTTCACACTTTATGTTAGACAGTCAATCCAAAAGTATGAAATCAAGGTTTCACACTTTATGTTGGACGGTCAATCTGAAAGTATGAAATCAAGGTTTCACGCTGCAATGTTCACTCGCAATGTAAGAGAAAAAGAAAAGCTACATCTGCTCTGTTAACCGTATCAGTTTTATTAACTGTTGGAATTCTGATAATTATCAATTTATCAAATTCTCTTTTAGAGCTCTAGCTCTGCCTTGTCTGAGATATATTTCGTAATCGTGAAATAATACCCATTAGATGTTCATTGTTATATCCAATGTTTTGGTTGTCATTAATCTAAATACTATGAAAGCAGTTATTATTATTATTATTTAACTGCAAATGGGTTTTCAGCCGGTGGCAGTGGTGCCACAATAACACAAGAGACAAATAACACTAATACTAAGTGGTCTTCTCCCTTGAGACTTTCTAACCAAAACTATGGCAAACAACCACCTCTGAAATCATGATGTACCTTCCAACCCTTATATAATAACCCCACCCCCCTTAAGGTTTCTTCGGGAAACTGTGCAATCGAACACTAAATTCAGGACAATCTTAAAAATGAGGAAATTTAACACTGAGATTACTGTCATGTGATCACTGGAACTGAACATTAAAGAAAAGATAACCTTAAATCGAGTGGGAAGTTTCACTGTGTATCAACGCATCTTATACATCCACAAACATGGTACATGTCTATGTATATAAAAATGAGATATTTTTATTACATTACAAAAATCAAAAACAATTATGTACAGACACTTACTGTACAATCAGCAGGCAAAGCTGGATGCTTTGGAGTAATGATGGTTCTATTTCCAACCACCTGTTCAAAATTAACCAGTGGACAACTTTCCATTATCTCCAACCAATCAACAGGCAAGGTTTCATTGTAAAGTTGATAATAATCGATGGGAATCTGCGTTGACCAAATACCATGACGATGTCCACTAACAATCTGTAAACAGACAAACTGAACTGTATCATTTATAACATACTGTAGCGTATTGGGCGTATATCGCGACAAATAACTTCACGCCGTATTTTATATAGCGAATTTTATTTCACATTCGCACTTACAATCACCCAAATTACAGATTTACGCTTACTGCTATCTGCAGTATCACAATTAGTACACTCCAAATGCCACAATACAACTGACTAGTTGCTGGCTAACTCGGAACTAACTCGGAGGTAGCTCGAGGACTAACTCGGCGGTAGCTCCAGGACTGACTCGGCGGTAGCTCCAGGACTGGCTGTGAATAGCCTTCACTGCTCCTCATGTAGCCTCGATCGGACAATTGTCGTCTGGTGCCGTGTTGCTAGCCACGCTGTCCGGAGTTGTTGACTGCTGCCTAGCAACTGCGATATCCCTCGGTGACGTCACCGCTACGTTACCGTGCGGAGGAGGGGGAGGGGACCGCTGACTCACCTGCCGCGTCACTGCTGGTGGGGGGGGTTCTCCTTTGCGCAACATGTCACAATACTATAAAGTTTAATTTCTTATGAACATATAATCCTTTAGTGAATGGCACAAGAAGCCAAGGACAAACATTTATATTCCAAGTGCATGCGTGTCCTACAAGAGTGAAGTGACACATGGCATACATATGGAACAAGGCATAGTCATTCTCACTTAAAAAAAAAATCAAGTCATTCAGACATACGAAAACAAAATTTACATCAACAAGTCAATATCAGGCATATAAGCCCCACTCCACACAACCAGTAGTACTAGCTCCTTCCATTCTACGAATGAGTTAAGTTTCTCCAAAACTGGCACTCGATGATCTACAAAAGCTATCCCTATAACAGGCCATGGAGGCCCACAGGGTTGTGAGACATCCAGGCTCTAACATTTTCTACAGAACTGGTTTACAGAAGAAAATAAGGTTCTCAGCCTTATGTGCTGGCCAGCCACCCTTGACCCCCAGGAATATTCATGGTACTCATTTCTGTCAGAGTTAACCCCAGGGCCATTTGCTTTGCTTAGTGGGGGGGTGGAGTCCAACTGGGTCCACTCGGCACAGCGGCCACTGATCGGCCTATTGTAGCCTGCCCTGGGTGATTATGACGACGGAGAATTTGGTGGAATGCAGATTGTCAGAGGAAACCGAAGTACTCGGAGAAAACCTGCCCCAGTGCCACTTTGTCCACCACAAATCACACTTGACCATACCCTGGATTGAACCCAGGCCACAGTGGTGGGAAGCCAGCGACTAACCGCTTGAGCTATGGCTTCAAACTCAAAGATGTCTAACAGTCAGATAACTTCTGTCAGAGTATGTGACATTACATCCGAGATGAGTACCCTTTACAGCCATCATCATAAGAACCTCAGAAAAGCATAACAATGGAGTATGATCAGAAAAAAACTACTCTGAAGGGAATAATTCTGATTAAGACTTCTGCACAAAAGGATGTCTGCAGAATTTCATAATCCAACCTGTACTTACATTTGATATTCTCAAAATAATTATATTCTTATTCTCAGTCACATTTCCACCAATCCCTTTGCTTCGTACATCGATTTCTTCGAGAGCTCGCTTAGCAGCTATGTTCATAGCCTCTAATGGCGATAACTGTTCATCAGGACAACTGCTGAAACTGAAGTCATCTACCTGAAACAATATTTTTTTTTTTTATCGCTAGTGGGGTGGGACTCAGTCCCTTGTACTGTGGCCATTTCTGGCCTACTGTACCAGCCTCAGATGATAGGTGACGGTGATTGTGGAGCAATTGGTGGAATGAAGATTGGCAGGGGAAACCAAAGTACTCTGAGAAAACCTGCCCCAGCGCCACTTTGTCCACCACAAATCCCACTTGACCAGACCCAGGATCGAACCCGGGCCACTGCAATGAGAAGCCAGCGACTAACCGCTTCAGCTATGGCGCGGCCACTTCCTGAAACAATAACAATTCATAACTGATTTCTCAGAACTGAGCCCTTCTTGAGAAGCTACTCAAGAACTTCGCAGTGATTTATGGGACTCAAAGGTTCAGTACCGTGTTCACAAGTGCCCTCCATTGGTCCCTATCCTGAGTCAGATCAATCCTCAGGGATAAAGCAGCTGGACTACAAAGCTGATCATTCACACATGTCTGATGTAAAGGTTCAGAATTCATGGAGATACACCTCCAATGGTGTAATGGTTATGCACAGGAACATTCCATAATTTTTATATAAAACAGAAGCTTTGTTGCATGCTGATAAGTTACAGGCAAATTACTATTTACCTGAAATGCTTCACAGGAAAGAGAGATAATGTAACTCCAGTGGCATGAACGTGAAACACAAACAATTTAGCTTTTGGTTTTGTGCAGTTTCAATGCTGACTTTTTATAGACTGCAACCTAGTTCATGTGTAAAATCTAAGAATGGGACTGTGGACACAAAAAAATAAAGGTACATATTCAAGTGAAGACAAGCATACAAATATATCAATCTGTATCTCATTTACTTATTATATGCAGAAAACTTGTGATACATGTTTCACTTCAGGCATCCTATAAGAACTACAAACCAAGCTGCTTGTTAATTGGTTATCTCAATACAGGTCTATACTGTACGATGTTATTCTTGAATATCTTGATACGTAGAATAACAACAGGTTTTATCATGTTAAAACCTACATAGTGTAAAATTATGGTTTTTAAAAATATAGACAAATTAGTTAAATACTGACCTTTACGACAGAGTAGTAGTACACCTTGCCATAAGATTTTCGTTCTAAAATTTTGTATGTGGGTATACTCATGCCTTTTGACATAGCATACTGTTGCAGTTGCCATACAGAATTTTCAGTACCACCATGAGAAACTGCTGTAAGCTGTTCTTCCAGTGACAATGTTTCTTGCTCCTAACACAAAGACACAGAAATCAACAAAGAGTTCTGTCTTCTGGATATGACGCCATGTAGTCTGATGAAAGTCATAGTCAGCCTTGCTCTGCTTGTTGCCTGCTTCCACATTGGTTTCTTTCCTGGCTTATTCTTCGATGCTGAAGATGGGGGTGACACGTTACTCCAAAACAATGATTGACTTTGAACAGATTACATGGTGTTATATGCCAGCAGACAGAATTCTTCATAACCACCACTGTCAAAACCTCAAATCCTACATATAGATCAACATATGTCACTTGTTTCTTAGTCTATTTAATAACTCTTCTCAGCTTCAGAGGTTTTAAAAATTGTTTTTAAATTCGCTTAGTGGAGGGTGGAGTCCAACTGGGTCTACTCGGCACAGCGGCCACTGATTGGCCTATTGTACCTGTCCTGGGTGATGATGATGATGGAGAATTTGGTGGAATGAAGATTGGCAGAGGAAACCGAAGTACTCGGACAAAATCTACCTCAGCGCCACTCTGTCCACCACAAATCCCACTTGACCAGACCCGGGATCGAACCCGGGCTGCCGTAGTGGGAAGCCAGCGACTAACCGCTTGAGCTATGGCGCAGCCTAGCTTCAGAGGTTACTTAGCAACGCATGCGAACACGACTGTGAATAATCAATCTGTAAGGTCACAGAAACCAACTGCCATGACTGATTTTATTGCAGTGGCATATTCAGTTTTTAAGGAAATGATATGAATTATTCTTAATATTAAAGCCAAAGACAGCCATTATCGCTTTCCTTTTTACAATTTTTCTATGACAATGAAAGTTAATTTTATGAATTCTTAACATATTTATTACACATAAATGATAACATATAGGGGAGATTGCATTAGTCCATCCATGCTTCAATTCACGAACAAGAGTCCAGATTTGGATGAAATCTGATTTGTATGCCCTTTCAGGCTATCCAAATCTCACACTTTTCAGTTTCCCACAGCTGGTAATCAGAACATGACAGATGAATGAACTTGTGAGGTATGACTAAGGGTACGGCCTGAGTGCATCGGGGTGTGGGCAACTTATGGCAGGGACAGCATTGGGCCGCTGCTGTGTCCTCAGTGCACCTCTAGCGTTCAGCGTTTATATCCTCAAAAGACATCTTCCAAACGCTATTGAAACACAAACTGGTTTGACATGCACACAGCACGCTCCTCTGCACGCTGCCCGTTCCGCTCAAAACACTCGGTCCCAGGACACGCCAATATATTCAAACGGGTTTGTGATGCACGCTGCACGCCCCGCCCCACCAAACGCTCCACGCCCCGCTGCACTCAGGCCTTACCTTAACAGTAGCACCATTACCTTAGGGTCCTGAAAAGATGTAGGGTAACATGTTCAAGAAATAAGCAATTTCTGTTAAGATATTTATGCTGTAGAACACAAAACAGCTGCATGGTGGCTGCACGAAATGTCTACATAACTATCAGTTTGATGGCAATAACTAATAAAATGTGTGAGCTGTGTAACTGAAATTTCATACAGAGAGGGGACCATAAATTGTTTTGTATGAAATGCTGTTTGCAAGTTAACACATAAAATATCTCGACAGTTCAAGACATCTGAAAAATATAATACAAACTCTGTACTTACACAGCAATTTCTTCCCAAGAAGAAGTATAATAGTATATAAAAATAATACAAATAATGACATATTTCTAATTTCAAGAAATAAAAAGGTGGCCACTCAATCAGAACTTCATCGTGTGACCATGTGCACATGAACCTAACATGCTAATCAGTGAGTCAAAGTGCGTTACATTACTGGCTTACGTATCATCTAAACATGGCATTAAAAATGGGCAAATTTGAGGACTGGGAAAGGACTAACACATTCATGAACACGTATACATTATACCACCTGAGTATGTTTCCACCTGCTAGCATTCAGCCTGGCCTGCAGGGGTGTCAGCGGAGAAGTTATGGTGGGGCCCCCACGACTTGCAGCTTTGTGAGCATTATTAGCCGCTTTGCTCGTCACTGTTTCGGTGCCACTCAAATTCATCTTGAAGTTCTGAAATGTTGTGATCATGTCCATGTAATATTTGTAATTACTCATGTATACAATGGACACCCCCACAAACATTCTAGAAGGGATCTTCTTGTGACTGTGTCCATATCATGGAAATCCATGAGATGAACCCTATTATTCCACCCCCTACTATGTTACAAGTGCAGAAGTTGCATTCCTATACAATTATTTTTGATCGACAGTTGCAATAAAAATGCATTTACTTTAATACATTATAAATAATAGCAGGCACACCAAAAACATAATAACTTATAGCCGATAACCTGCTCACCTCTTTCAAAACACCATAAATAAGGGTAAACACTGCAAAATCTAAAATAACATGTAAGCAGCAACCGCAATACCAGCCATTCTGATATGCCGCTGATAAACGGGCACAGGTCAGCCAAGAGCTACACATAATGGTACATCACCAATAGACACACATGTGATATGAATAACAACTATTTCTCACAAAAATAACTTTTTGTTTCACATTCTGTATTTTAAAATATTTTAATATTTTGAAAAAGTTAAATAGTTCCGTTCAGTGTGATTGGTTATGATTTTCTTATTTTAATTATTCATGCCCTTACATGTTTCGGTCTTCAGAGGGACACCTTTTACATCAATACAGTTAGAAACCACTATTGCAGTACATGTTCTAAAAGTTATAATATATACATACAATATAAATAATATATACAATTGGGTATAAAAGCTGAAGTCTTTACAACTACAGCCGCTGTCCCAATATGTTAAAATATTTATAGTTAGTTTGTTAAGATTCTAATGGAATTCGTAAACCAAGCAGGTTCACGTCGTCCCTCTTATTATTCCCGTGACGGTGGCCGAAAGTGTGCCTCCTTGTTGTTCTCGAGAAGACAGTTCTTTGATGTTGTCCTGTATGTGTTTGTGGCCCGCTGCGTTGTTTTAACTTTTTCATAATATTAGTGTGATGGACCAGAATGAAACAAATCAAATTTTAATATTTATCCCAAATTTCTATAATGGTTAACTTATGGTCCTTACTGTGAATTTTGTGGCCCTGTTTTACAAATTCCAGAGGGGCAAAATATCATAACCTGAATTTCTGTAACACAGGGGCGTGTTGTACCCTGCTTCAGCAGCAGAATGGTATACTACCGTGAGTAAACTGGTTAAACACTGATATATTTTCCATTACTTTACATTATACAGGGTGTCCCAGGAAGAAAGGTCAATATTCTGGGAGGTCATAGTATCCGTTATTCTAGAAAGAAATGTATATGTACATGTACTATTCTGAACAGTTTCCGAGATAGAACTATTTCACTGTACAGATGAGCAACACACCATGTCCTCACACAAGCTGCAGAGTGCACAGATGCAGATAGTGGTACTTTTGAAAATGTATTACACTAGGTAAACTGTATTGTCACTTGAACAACAAATATTGGTATTAGAAACAGTACGCAATATCTCTTTATTATCAACAGTTTTGGAACTTTACGGTAAAATATGGTAAAATCTCGGAAACCGTTCGGAATAGGACACATACATACTCGTATATGCTTTACTGCTTAGAATGACTGATACAATGAATTCCCAGAAAATTAATCTTTCCTCCTGGGGCACCCTGTATACAGTAAACATCAGTAAAATGATCATTGCCACCATACTCCATCTAAACATTTCTGATAGTGCTGCATCATCATCATCATCATCATCATCATCAATCAATGACACCATCAATTATGTTGTCATTACAAAGTTACATTCTGTGTTTAATATAGAATGGGAACCAAAATCAACTTACAGGAGATCTCATCGAAGAAACAGGGCTTTTCTCCTGTAAGGTTGCCTATGCAATTCATTATCCTCAAAGATGTTTTAGATATGCAACAGTACTCACCCTAGTAATGCTACCTTTGGTGTGATTTGATGCCATTTGTATGTCAAAAGACAACCCTGAGAAGTGATCCATAAAACCCTGCATTCCAAACATTGTATGACCACAAGGTCAGGATTAAGGTCGCATAATGTGTGACAAAAAAGACTAATTGTTACTCGCCCTCATACCTTATACTTTCCACTGTACTTTCAAGGCCTTGGTGATGGACATTTCTCACTTTCATAGATAAAGAAGAAGATATCTCTGGGCTAAATTAATTCAACGCCAAGCCATGAAGACATATAGAGGAATGTAGGTATAGCTACATCATTTTTAACCGTATCACTGAATGTACACAAGCAGTCAGCTTCACGTCCCTAGGAAAGTAGCCCCCAGAACCCACTGTATAGGATGCTGTGTTGGCCCCCAAGGCAGTCTGGACATTATTGAGAAGGAAATACCTCTTGCCCTTCTCAACCTGACTCCCTGATTGACCAGTCAATAGATTAGTCACTGCAGGAACTGAGGTAATACTTTTCTAACACATGAATGGAATATGCCAAATACATGAAAACTAATCTTTTTACAGTAAAATAAAAAAAGAACATGAATTATGCAATGGATTGTGCTGTATCTAAAACTGGTAGAGACAGAATGGAGAACAGGGATATACATGAGTTAATATTTAAAAGCTTAATTAAAGAAATACCTACATTGCTCTTAACCACCTTTTCTGCCGTAGATACTGCTCGGCTCAGACGTTCTTGAGCACGAGATGACGACGTGACTGGACAAGTTACTGAAGCAACAAGTTCGGGTGCTAACTCCTTAGTAGTAATGTTTCCTCCTTGAGATGTTCTGAGGAACCTAGGGGGTTTCTCAAATGTTCGACGGGAATGTTCGCCTCCAATGCCGCCACTGCTGGAAGGTGCTGGCTGTGCAGACGGTGGCAGAGGTTTTGATGGTACAGATGCAAAGGACACCTAAACAGAAAGAAAATGACATGAATAAAGAAAATCAAATAGGGGGTCCTCACAACACAGAGCTATACGCAAACACAGAGGAGAAAGTAAGGCACATGAACATTAGCTTTCTGTTCTAACTACCTATCAGGAAGTTTCCTGGAATTCAGCCATGAAAGTCACAAAAATAAAACTCTGTCTAGAGCATGTACGAGAGTACAACAAACCTTGACTAAATAATGTTACTTGAAGAGACGTTGTATGTAGATTCTAAAGGGTTCTGATGATGGTGAATAACACACAGTATTAGTCGGTTTTTGGACTTTTTCCATTGTTCAGAATTCTAGGAAACAGAAAACACGACATTTTAGAAACAGATCCAGTTCCCGAAACGTCGTGTTCTCTGTTTTCATAGAGTTATGGACGATGGATAAAGTCCAAGAACCCAGTAATTCTGAGAACTATGTGTTGAACGAGACCTCATCTGTGGCAATTTTTGTTTCCAGCTGACAGTAGAGACAGATTTAGAAGCTTTCTAATTATATAATAATCTATGTCAGTATCTGATGATGATGATGATGCACCATCAAAGACGTTTTAAAGAACTTTCTGTGCAACATAATGAGTACCAGCAGAAGCAGTATAAAACTCCCTGAAGGTTACCACCCTCTCGGATATGATGTCACACAATCTGGTACGCTGATACCAATGTTTTGGAGGAACTTGCGGCTTCCATATTCAGGGTCTCTTCTACCCTGAACATGGAGTCAAAAGTTTCCTAAAAATGGCCGAAACAATCTACCAGACTACATAGAAGATGATACACTTCACAGTCACAGACATAACTGTGTTAGATTTCACATAATATTCTCCATCCTTTTAAAAGACTTTGGCAGCTGACATTTTAGACCTTATTTCTAGATCTGTAGTTCATCAGATATCCCATCATAACCACATAAAGACAGAAACAGCTCACTGGAAACAAATAAAGCGTTAATAATGATCCATAGTGACTGTCACTTTCAAATGGTTAGAACTAAACCTGTATTTGAGTAGCCCTGACCATTCTGCCTTAAGTTTTCAAGGTCTTCCTTATTCCTTTGTGGCCAATCCTGAAATGGTACTTCAATAAGGACTAAAATGCTTCTTTCCATGTCCTTCACAATTCATCATTCATGACCATTCAATTTAGAACGATAAAGCTATACTGTTGAGAAAACACGATTAAATACTAACAAACGTCTACCAACTGCAAGGCGGTGTCAGATAGGATGAGATGTCAATTATACACAGCAATTTGGAAAGGACCGAGAAGATATGACCACGGTCTATTTCAAATTTTTATGTCCGTACTCATCTGGAATGACTGGGGAAAACAAAGACAATCTATCTCTGTTTGGCTGTTTCATTCTCCTGTCCTCTCTTCCCAGACTCAAAAGAGAAAGAAACTGTGTTATGAAACATATTTGAACAAAAAAATACTCTTTTAACATTATCAACAAATCTCCCATGGAATCATGTACAAATAATTCACATGGTACTTTCCTACACTAAGTAAAAATGTGCCAATGACTGTCATCAGTCACAAATTTCCTACAGAATTCTATGGTCATCATCTAAGATGATAAAGCTCTTATTATGAGTATTTATAAAAATGAGATTAAATTGTGAACTTACTAGACGAGAGGGTTCCGCAAAACATTTCTCGTTGTCTGGTTGATTATTTACAGTAATAGAGAGTGGCATATGACTGTCGGCAGTGGGTGTGTGTCTTGATGTTTTCACAGGACTTGGCGGAGGTCTCCGCAAAGATGCTGCTGCATGATGTGAAGGTACCTACATGTGGAATACAATCTTCTATACAAACAAACAATGATTTACAGTTCCACTTATGGCACAACCTCAGATGCACAAAATGAAAATGCTGCAGTGCCTACGATAGGCTGAACGTGAGGACAAAATTTTCAGGAAGATATCTGGACTTAAGTAACAGACAGACAGGCATTATTTGTGCTCTCCATCTTAACACATTCAGGACCAGAGGGGCCAATTAGCCCTCTACATTTCTATAGTGTTGTGGACCGGGCAGGCCAATTGGCCCTTTTCTGATGCGTTATGTTGCAACCGACTATATCTCACTGTGTGGCCACGTTGCATCATAACTACTGCGTAGTTGACCTCGGGAATGTTTGCTAGCTTAGCCAGTAACATGATCACGCTCATTTTCTGTCACACCCTAAAGAAAAAAACAACCGGTCCGCAATGTGTTAAAATAACAGTTGGGACATAGGATGGTTTAGTCAGTACGGCAACTAGGCTACAGGTTGGCCAATGAAGGAACTGGGGTTGATTCTCAGCAGGCATACAAGAATATTCTCTAGTCTACAATGCTCAGACTGGGGTCCACACAGTCTCCAATCCAGTGGATACTGAACACTCACTGCCACCTTGTGCCAAGGTAACAAATGTATGAACCCTTCATCTCTACTCGTCCATTATATCTTTAAGGTACCTCATCACTGTATGATGTATGGCAAAAGTCCTGACTTCCTTCGACATGTGTCACAATAAATCAACATTCTCTTCTGCCTCCTTTCATTTCTCTGTTGGAGCAAACTGTACGATCCATTTTTACATTTCCATCATGTGCCTAAATTAGGTGCAGTTTGCCACTTTTGTCTTTACATTTGTTGAACTTGGTCTTACTCTCTTGGGTCATTTTGTTTCGAAAGTTTCCTACAAATTTTTCAATCACATTCTTATGGAACTCCAGGTGAGACAAAGTTGGAAGTTTTGCTGACTGCCAGTTCATGCTGTGCAGGTTCTTTTTTTACTTACATAGCTGTTAGTTTCAGCAGCTGTTGCTTCAAAGTTGCAATAAAATCAGCATAAAAAATCTGTGTGTAGAAACAGGCATCTGCCTGCTTCGAGGTGGTTTATAACCAGATGAGGCATGAAATGGTATCATATAGAGATTATGGTCATTTTGTTCCCAGAAAGCCCGATCTTCATTATCATCGTCTTTCTCATTGTTGCCAGGTCCACTTATTTTAGAAACCATACAATAAACTATATCAATATCTGAATCCTGACTAAATTCACTGGAAGAATCCGAGTCATTATGCAATTCTTCATGGACTGATGGCTGGCCGATGCACGGCCACTGGAAGACGCCACTGGAATATTACTACAGGGGAAAGTTACACACAGACCCTCTGCAAACTCTATTAAAAATTCCCAAAAGTACTAAGATGAAACGTTTGTTAAAAACAGTGCAAAGAGGAAGGCTTGAACAACACACCGACACTGTTTGCCCCCCTTAGACTGACTCTGAAATGTCTAAAACATTAACTAAACATGTGGCAGACAGAGTTCAACGTAGGACCCCAAAATGTGGAATTTAAAGTGTCGTACTCAATCCGGCAAAGAATCAATTTTAACAGAAAATATATAATGCAATTAACTTTAATACAATTCATCTGAGCTGTTTACAAATCCTAATTTCTTTTTGTTTTAGACAATTTCATATTTCAGTCTTCACTAAAAAAAATGTAATTAAAAAATCCACATGTAACTGTGTCAATAAACTTCTGCATTAGATGAAGTTCTAGGGGAAACCTCTAATAAAGTGATTTTATAATGGTACTCACATATTTTCGTGTAGACTTAGATTTTCTTGAGGGAGACTTCTGCTTAGAAATCAGTGTAGATATATGTTCTGTGTTCTTATTTGGAATGGCGTTTAAGATCATTTCCCCGCCACGGCCAAGTTTGACTGTGATATCGGGCAAACTATTCAAGAACTGCTCAAGGGTCTCATATCCCAGTTCCTGATACGGGATCTTGGTACCAGCTAACAGTTCATAGTCACCTGCAGTGAAAACAAAGCAACCTGTTATTTTTAAGCCTTTTCAATTCTAACAGAAGTGTGAAAAATACTTCGGTCTCTGGCTTGATGGACCAATGTTACACTTGGTTTTTATTATAATCCTAAAATCTATGATTTAACATAAATCTAGAAATATAGATATGCAGGATTAGGCAGCTTTCATCGTCTTTTGTATCTTTGATATTTTAATCAATTCAGCATTAACTTCTTGACAGCACTGACCATGAAGATGACTGTCTCTCCTAGGACATGAAACCATGTAATACAGTACTGTTCTGGGTACTCTGAAGATTCTCAATTAAATTAATTTTCTAACAGTATTCAACAATGGGGCTGGTCACGGTAGCCCAGCAGTCTAAGGCACGCACTGTCTTCACTCGCTCGGAAGCCGGGATTGTGTGTTCGAATCCCACTCAGGGCATGGATGTTTAGTGTTTTGTCTGTGTGTGTGTGTGCATGCGTGCATTTTTTCTGTGTTTGTGTAGAGGTAGAAGCCTTGGAATGAGCTTATCACCTGCCCAAGGAGTCCGACCGAATGTCTAAGATCTAGTTAACCAAAGTGAAATGGAGAGTTTCACGGAGGTAGGCTGTAGCGCCAAATGAAAAAAAAAAAGTACCAATGTGAGATTCCTTTTAATATAATTACATTCTATGTTATCAGTGATTAGGCCATGGGTTGATGATCTTGGAACCAGGGTTCAATTCCTGGCAGGGGTAAGATATTTTTCTCTACTCCATGGTACACAGACTGGCTCTTGGGCCCACCAAGCTCCCTATTCAGCGGGCACCATGGGCTCTTTCTAAAGAGTTAAACGAGCCATGGTGTGAAGGCAGCCACTTACCTCCATCTAGTGCCAAGGTTGAGTATTTGCACCTGTACCTCCAATTAAGGAAGAGAAGCTGTTAAAACCAGTCCTCATGAGTAATGAGATAGAATTACACTGATGTGCCAGCTGATGAATCCCCTCTGCAAAAAAAAGCTCTCTGGGCTGCAGCTGGAACCACGGCACCATCATGGCATTAACGTCCTCGTTCAACCCAAATCTACAGCTCTTTTAACACTTTCTTCAAGGAGTTAGTCACAAGATGACAGGTCCAGTCTATATCAACGATGATCTAACATCCTACAGTCCTTGCCAAAGTGAGTCACACGGGGACAGGTGCTGCCACACAACACGATAACATTCCTCATGAGCATGTCAAGCCACTTTCTCTTGATGACGGTATAAAGATTTCCGACGGTTCCACAACGGCACCATGTTTGCAGAGGACGTCAGGGTCCTAGTACCTTATAGTTGAGGGTCACATATTTGGATAAGGTGAAGGTGTCACAACTGCTGTGATGCAATGGTTCCAGAGAGAGTTCTTTTCAGAAAGAATCAATTGGCTGGTATGTCAATTCGATGCCTCTATCAAAATGCCCATGAGAACCATCTTTAATGGCCTCTATCCCTTTACCCACAACAATCCACAAATAAGAAGAATGCCGTCTTCTGGGATGTAGCACCATAAAGATCGTGTGTGAACCGCAGTTCCTCCAAAATATCGGTAAACACAAGACCTACATGGCGCCACATTCCAGAAGAAGGCATTCTTCACAGTCAATGCCTTGAAAACCTCAAATCTTACATAATCCATAAATAAGTTTTACTAAAAAAACTCAAATACAGGTAAAGGAAAGGAATTTCATTAATATACACTGGCAAACAATTGTGTTGTGTCCACATTTTGCAGTCTGCTCAGAGTCAAATTTTATTAATCCAGACTGAAAAACATTTTTGTGTTATATGTTTGGCATTTTGCTCTTTCACCTTCACTTTCACTTTATTTTAAATTCCATATATCCTTTTCAGGTCATGCATGCCATAGGATATAGAACATGTCAAAATACGTGAACACATACATGAAAACAATGGACCCATCAACATGCAGTACAGTCACAATACAAAATTTGTACATAAAATGTTCAAATATGATCCAATTTATGCAGATATATGATTATTGNACTCTTTATTGATCGTGGAAGATGACTGAACACTTCGGTACCTGTCATATAGGCTCCTTTATTAAATTTTGAAGTACTCACACTAGGTACATGTAAATTACCTTGGGATCTAGTTGTATATTCATGAATCTCGTTATTAAAGTTAAATAAATGTTTATTATTAATTATATATAAAAGTAGTGAGTATATATACTGATAATATAATGTCATAATTCCCAATTTCTTGAAAATATCCCTGCAAGAATCTCTATGTTTAGTGTTTGTTACGATTCTAATACTTTTCTTTTGCAAGATAAACACTTTCCTGGCATGTGAGGAGACACCCCAGAAGATTATACCATAACTCATGATGGAGTGTACATAAGCAAAGTAGATTGGCCTTAACGTTGCAAATGATACAATATCTTTTATATTTCGCAATGCATAGCACGCAGAGGATAATCTACTGATCACTAGGTCAATATGCTGTTTCCAAGACAATACATCATCAGTAATCAAACCAAGGAACTTAGTTTCTGTTACATTTGAGATTCTTTCCTGATCATAATTAATTTGTGTCATGTTACAATTCATGGACTGGAACTCTAAATATTGAGTTTTATTGAAATTTAAGGTAAGTAAATTAACATTAAACCAAGTGTTTATATCTTTAAAAAGTTTGGTTAAGATTTGTTTCAAAGTTTACATTATTAATATCAGTAATTATATACTGGTGTCATGGGCATATAAAACCCTGTTATTATCCTTATTTATTATTTTAGGTAAATCATTTATGTAAAATAAAAAAAGCAGGGGGCCGAGAATTGAGCCCTGTGGGACTCCACATTTAACTATTTCCCACTTATATGAATTCCTACTATCAGTTATATGTCCAAAAACAACTGTGTGATGTCTACCAGTTAGATAAGATTTAATTAGTGTTTTAAATATACCTTCTATTCCATAGAATTCCAGTTTATCCAACAAAATTCTGTGATTTACACAATCAAAAGCCTTTTGCAGGTCACAAAAAATACCTCCTACATTATGCTTATTATTCATGGTTGTGAAAATACTATTAATCAATGAAAATTCCGCCTTCTCAGTTGAAAGATGTGCTCTGAATCCATATTGTTCCTGAGCCAAGATACTGTTAGCTTCAATATGAGTGATTAACCTCGATAATAAACAAGTTTTTCAATAATTTTTGAAAAGGAAGTCAACAACAAAATGGGCCTGTAGTTGGAGATTTCTTGTATGTTGCCTTTTTTAAAGCAAGGTTTAACTATGGCAAATTTTAATCGATCTGGAAATACACGAGTACTCGGGATCGCATTACAAATATATGTTAATGGTGAGATTATAAATGGAGATGTTACCTATCAGAAGAGCCATCAGATATGACCAGTACTCTATTCTTACACTACAATGAGACAATGCTCTTCCCGCATTTCATACCTGTACTCTATGTACTCTATTTGTACACTACAATGAGACAATGCTCTTCCTGCATATCATACTTGTACTCTATGAACAAAAGAATCATTTAAATTTTCAGTGTGTTAAATAGTAATGAAATAGCGATTGATAATGTAAGTATTACTTACGATTAAGGTTGCTTAATGGAATGCCATATTTTGAGGATATCAGGCATGCTCTCAGCATGCTGACCACCTCATCTCTGTCTATTTCAGCCATTTCCTCCTTTCTAGAAAGAAAAGGAACTCATTTAGTACCTCTGAAACACATTTCTAAGAACTCATTTTAATGAACGCCTCCCCATATTTTCAACACCTGAAATGTGACATACAGTACATACACGGTTTTTTTTCTTCCTTTGTTGACCAGTTCACAACTCTGCACTTTAGTGACCAGTGCACTGCTTGCTGCAAGGCACTGCAGACAGATCATAAACAGACTCACAAACACCCATGCATGAACTGCCCTGTGAAACATAATACCATCAAACAGCCCAGAATTACTTCCCTTCATTCCAAATGTTATCAGCCTTCAGGTATGCTGATTCATCGGCAAAATTCGTATGCGCTATGCAGTATGCAACGCACTGATCACAGTAAAAAGTAGAGTCATGGAACCGGTCAACAAAGTAAAAATCCTCGCTACAGATGCAGGCAATGGGGAATCCTTAATACAATTACAAGAACTTAATGAACCACTGTCTGCCAGATTTCAAGGAATTACTATTCGGAATGTTAAATTAGTACACCCTTATGTGAAAACAATACCATACAGTCTGGTATAATTAACAAACTACTGCCTCTGTGGTCTAGTGGTCAGAGTTCCTGGCCACAGATCCAGAGGTCTGGGTTCAATTCCCAGCACTACCAGATTTTCTGAGGAGTAGTGGGTCTGGAACAGGGTCCACTCAGCCTCGTGTGGATAACTGAGGAGCTATTTCAAGGAAATAGCGGCTCCAGTCTATAGAACCAAGATTAATGGCCGAGGGGATTCATGGCACTGACCATGCATCACCCTCTATACGCTAAAGTTGGCACTAACTTCGCAGACAAATGGCAGTCACTTGGTAGGTATAGGTCACGTGCGCACTAAAATCACTTTTTTTGTTTGTTCCTTAATCCTTTAATGAATAATGGTTACTGTGTGTACCACCTACTTTAATATAAAAAGCTCTTCATTTCTACAAATACTGGGCTGCATATGATTCTCAGTGCAAATGTCAATTACCTCCCTAAACAGCATTATGCGCTTCATCTCTGTAATGTAGCGTGCTGTCTGTGTTCTGTGAAATGAATTTCTAAATAGTATTTAGAAGCAGGATTTCAGGTTCTCATACTGGTAACTGATGAATATGGTCTTCTGGGCTGTAACATCATGTAGTTTGGAGACTGCAAGATGTTTCAAAGGAACATGATGCTTCCATCTTCAGGGTTAAAATGTGTAAGGTGATGAAGTGGACTGGTAATATGGGCTGACTGAAAGGAAGACGGTCCCTCAGACCCACGAGTTGGGTTCAGAAAATTGGGCACAATCTGGGTCAATGGGAACAGAAGGTAGAAAAACAACCCTTTTCAGTAGCACATTATATTTCTTTCATAACAGAAGGGAAATGGGACTGTGAGAAAAAAAATTGCCCTTTTCAAGGACACAATACTGTTTCTCAAAACACCAACCCTGAACATGGAGATAGCATATTCCTCCAAAACATAAGTGTCCTCCTACAATGAATCTGATCTGTTTCATTCTGGTCCCTCACACTAACAATATCATGAAAAGTTAAACAGTTCTGTCTAGTGTGACTTGTGAAGAGTTTTCTTATTTCAATTATTTATGCCCTGTCACACTAGACGAAACTGTTTAACTTTTCATGATCCTCCTACAACGTTTTGAATAATCACTGTAGTAAAGATTTCAAGAAGGCTGCCTTGTACAATTGAGCCAATTCCCCACCCTACACACTTCACTCCTGAAGATGGAGGCAGCAGATACATCCGAAATGTCAATATCCATCTACGTGATCCATGGCATCACACCCCAAGAAAACCACAAATCTGAATAATCACTGGCATGAAAACCTCAAAATTTATATGCAGTGAATATCTTGGATGTCTCAGTGTTTTAGTCTGTTCGTATGAAGGGTTCGGTATCTTATGCCAGCTGAAGAGACGTCCACCTATATTCACCAAAATTCATAAACATGCTGCTGGATTCACTATACATAACCAGGTTCTCCTCTCACATTTCAAGTGCCAAGGCCATGGGAATGATGATTATAATTGCAGAAATGTAGGTCTACCCCCTCCCTAGTCATGCCTTGTGCCAAAGGCTGATGAACTGTAATGCAAGTGTTAAACTTTCTCTTCTGATACATCTGCCCTCCTTTACTGGAAACTCAGTAATGCAACCACTGAGGTATGAAGCCAACCTGGACCTCACATACTTGTGAGGCACATATATTTGCAAAGTCCTTTTTGTGAGGTTGCATACTTCTGTTGTATAGCCATTCACACCAGAGATGACTCATTTCACGTGAAATAAATGACTGCTTTGGCATCACCAATTTATCTCATATATTTTTTCTTGGAATTCAGTAATATTTTATATTAAAATGCAGAATAAAGGAATTACTTGATGTTTTCCACATTTGTCAGAGGTTAAAAAAGGTATGGAAAAAAGGAAACAATAATGAAAAGTTTAATATTTTATGCCTAACTCTATAAATACTGCAAATATGGAGATGATCCAGATATCTTCATAACACACTTCTTCATACATAGCAATATCAATACAAATTAATCAGCAGCACCATAAAATCCAGCAATCACTCGCCAACCATAGAGGTCATGTTCCTGAAATATACCACAACTGTGAAACCACAGCCGACCTTATGGGTAGCTGTAGGTTAGGGACACAACAGCCTATGGTTACACTAGCTCATGGAGCTGAGCCCTTCTTGAGAAGCAACCAGTACATAACATAAGATAGTAACAGGAATATTTGTATATTACAGACAACACATGAACAACGATAAAAACAAGAAGTGGCCGCTGCAGCGCCGTAGATATAGGGCATGTACCCTGAAAAATTTTAACTAAAAATTTGAAAAAGAAAGAACAGAGATCTTATAGACATTTTAACTTGAATTAAGTTTTAAAAAGTGCTAATTTAAAAATCAAATCGACGCGTGTAGATTAACAAAGATTTTATACAATTAGAAAGACTGGTAATTTTAAATTTTAACAAGCAGTGTAACAGCTACGTGAGTGATACACACCTGATGATGGCCATTTAGGGCCGAAACATGTAGTGAGGAGGAGGAAAAGAAGTAAAAATTACAATAAAATTTGTTGCACTTAAGACGGTATTTATCCATATATATTGTGTGAGTGTAACAGGATGCTGAAATATAATATTGTAAACAGTGGTTCATTACCGTGTTCATAAGAGCCCTCCACTGGTCCCCATCCTGAGCCACATCAATCCAATCCATATCATCCCATACTATTTCTCTAAGATTCATTTTAATATTGCCCACCCACCTATGTCTTGGTCTTCCCAGTGGTCTCCTTCCTTCCAGCTTTCCCACCAATATCCTATATGCATTCCTATTCGCCCCCATTCGTGCTGCATGCCCTGCCCATCTCATCCTCCTTGACTTGATCAATTTAATTGTACCTGGAGAAGATCCAACCTCCTGTCACTTCATCCCTCTTCAGTCCAAATTTTCTCCTCAGCACCCTGTTCTTCAACACCCTCAGTCTATGTTCCTCCATTAAAGTCAGAGACTAGGTTTCACACCCATACAGAATCAAAGAAAAGATTATAGTTTTATATATTCTAATTTTTATGTTTTTAGACAACAGACGAGAAGACAAGAGGTTCTGGACTGAATTGACGCAAGCATTACCCGAGTTCACAGCTTCTGGACTGAATGGTAGCAAGCATTACCCGAGTTCAATCTCCTCTTAATTTCCTCCTGACTCAGGTTTCCATTTGTTAACAGTCTATGGTTACATTCATAAAAGTCTAACAAGTTACCTGTCCCTTCAGTAAATACCTAAATATATGTAACAGCATGTTTAAAGATTGAAAATGTTCAGATAACATGTTAATTAAAACAACAAATCCATCAATCTTACTGTTTACCTTCAGGACACTAAGTACTGAAAGTTTGTCCATGAAACGTGTGACTATAATGATGACTGTTTCCACACACCAATGACTTTTCACAGTGCAAGCACAAGTTAAAAATCATTGCTACATAAAGCCAAACAGGTGGGATAGCTCCAGTGGGCTGGACAGTCAGGGTTCAATTCTCGGCTGGGGCAAGAGACTTTCCTCTTCTCTAAAGCATCCAAACTGGCTCAGGGGCTAACTCAGCCTCCTAACCAATGGTTCCTGAAGGCTCTTTCCCTCTGGGGTAAAGCGGACAGGGCGTGAAGCTGACCACTCAAATCCATCTACGGATGAAGTCAAGAATGGTGGAACTGTACTTCCAATCCCCATAAAACTTCATGGCATACTGCTTAATGAAGTTACCATGGGGACTTCACCTGTTTTACATAAAGCCAAATATTTTGATGGCAAAACTGAGTACAAATGAATTATTGGGAACACCTGAAATTGGTCATTGGTGAGGAATTTCGGCAATATGATTAATATAATAATAATAATTACCTGACTGTTGAGGAAACTGTTGTTTTCTATACATTTTCATCTCCAATAAGATATATGGTACAACACTTCACCCGCCATTTTTCATTAAAATAATTCACACTATAACACTCAATATTAATCATAATGAAACATTATATTTTTAATGGTCTGACAATGCTACAATCTATAGAGCTATATCACCATTGGTATGAGTGGGGGCCATACATATCCTTGTACTGCACATTCCAAAAACATTATCCTACACCTCTTGGTTTGTGCCAATTTCTGAACACATACAGAACTGGTAGCATTTTGTACTGACGGATGATATGTCTTTCTGTCACTCATTCTGTCATTTGTTTTTAGTGGAGCTAGAAACCATGAAGATGGAAGCTGCACTTGTTACAAACTGATTTGAAATTCATGTCTCTCTTAGACATTTCTCATTAAGTATTCCTGTTCATTTGAAGGGTGATGACCTCCTGTAGCCTGTGCAGATTTCTACATAAGCAGAGCATCCAGCACACAGTAGTTCTTTCTGCCAATAATAACAATGAGACAGGATAGTGCAGTGTGTATAGTGATAAATCTATGGACTGCTGATTGAAGAGCAAATGCATTCAATTCCTTGAATTACGTGAAAGAAAATCCGGTATTCCTATACAACAGAAACATAATAAAAAACGGAGCAATCAAGATTTTCCCTTTCATGGCAAATTTAAGTTATTTATTTTTGGGGCTCCAGGTTGACTGGCTTATGGATAACTTGAAATATAGCTGCGAGTATGGCAATTGCACTTTTGATAACATAAAGGTCATTGCTCAGTCTGTAGTTCAATATTCAACGGACATGTCATTTCCAGTTTAATGTATGGTTTCATTAAATCGATGTGTCGTGCAAATGCTTCGCCAACTATAAACACTATGGACATTTCTGGTGACTTTAGCAAGGATTCCCGTCTGAGAATGCCTATAGCATTCAGCTTGAAATATTTCCCAGAACTTCCTATGATAAATACATTCCTTTTGTTTTGTAATCCGTTCTTTCATTACATACCCGCGTTTTACGTTCATCGTCAGTCCAACATTTAAGAAAAAAATGCCAACACATGCTTTACATTTTTTGTCAACTTACAACTTGATTGTAGAAAACAACAATACAAACTGTGAGTTAAAAATATAGATGCAAATACGGACTGTAAATATTCATTTTCTCAGATCAATACTGAAAAAGTATAACAATAAATACTATCATTTCATACTGACCGTGTGTAGAGCGCTGTACACTCCTTCGAAAACAATAATGTGCATTTAACTGACAAAACACAGCAATTCTGAACAAAAACTAAAATATACAATCTTAAATTTATCCTTTATCCATAGTGTTACACTACGTACCTACTACTGATCTCAAATGTACGCTGTATCACTTTATTAAACTTCACATTTACTATGCACCACTTCTCATATTATCTACCCTTCACACACACATACGAAAACACACCTCTCCATCCTCTCCATGCTCTCCATACACTCGGCCAAGCAACGAGTATAAATTCCAAAGCACGGTTTACCTCCTAATTCTTCGTGATTTCAGACACGAGAAACACGGTTTTGTTTGCGCATGTGAAACTCATGCAAAGACACTTTAGTTCACAAAAGTAATAAGCGATTTTCAGGCTTCCGATTAATTATTTTTTTCATTGCATCTCAATATTGGATCTTCGGTGTTTAAGACGAACACTCACTTAAGGCTTAAGAATACGTTAACTTTCGTCTGGTATGCGACGTCGTGTAGTCTGGTAGACCTCGGTAGCGCTCTGTAGGAATTTCAAATATCGCAATGACACTTTCAGAAAGCATACAGTAATTCGCCCTAAATTTTCGTCATTCTTCCTGTAACGCTACTAAATGTGTAAACTCAACAATTCTTCAGATGGCTGCAGAGTATAGCAAGCATAAAATGCAGCACGAATTCACGAATTCACGAACTTCACGAACAGCCCCGTTAAATACCATGTTATTGGTGGGCAACATGGCCGCCATGACACCACGGTACAATGATGCTGCCATCTCTACGAATCCTACATTAACTAAATTGAAAATGGCCGACAGGGCCGAGACCACAATCGGTAAGAAGGTATGCTAATATAGAAACTATTTTGAGTGTTTCCCCCAATGCTTTCATCGCTAGAATAGCAACAAATACTTTTACAACCAGATCTCTTGTGCTGCAGAGGGTTCCCCCCAAAACTATTACTGAACTGTGTTCAGTATCACTAGTCAAAGAGGATGAGGTTGGCAGGGCATGTAGCACGAATGGGGGAGGCGAGGAATGTTGTTCACTTAGGTATCATTTTAATCTAGTAGGGTTTTTCTCAAGTCTGTCTGGTAATTACTACATATAAAAATAAATATTTAGGACTGTGCATGTGCTTCTACCAGCAAAGTTTTAATGCCCGACTGGCCAAAACGGGATACTTTGGCCGCGGCGACTATACTCATCACTGGCACAAACGGGGCCCTTCGGACGTTAAAGGTTAAACACAATGTTTAAATTGTTTAAGCGCCCTATCAGGAACGGACATTTAAACGCAGAGTAGCAGCGGACATTTAAATAAACTCCAGCCAGCTCAAGCTTACCACCATTTCAGAAGTTCGGAGTTTGAAGGTTAAATAGCTGATTAATATCAAGGGTGGCCGGTGGTCTAGAGTTAAGGTGTACTGTTTAAAAGTTATGAGATTCGAAGACATAACTATTTTGTGAAAAAAAGAACGTAAGAAATTTGTGCATGTAGGAAGCAAGTGGTACTGCATGAGGAAGGTGAAGGTAACAAATTTGTATAGATCTGGTGGTACGTGGGTAAGACATTGGCGAAGTGTTGGGAAGGTACGGGGTTCGAGACGACAGTGTCTTTTGTCAATAGAAATTGAAAAGTGAATAAATAAATACGATTTTTCTGCAGCTATAAACCAAGTCGTAAAATATAAGGACGATCGCAGACATTTACGTCATGGATGTTCTGGTGGTCTAGTGGTAAGGCACTGGCGTTGTAAGTATAAGGTTCATGGTTCGAAAACACTAGTCTATTTGTAATGAAATTTTTATGGAATTATATAGCGAGATGTAATATAAGAGGAAGATTAAAGGCAAAAAATTTCCGTGGCATTGGTAGCCTATTGGTAAAATACCGGCCTAATGTCACGGAGTTCCAAGGTTCGGAACCAACGAAAGTTTTATAAAATACAAGTGGAGTTAATAAGATTTTTCTGGAATTATAACCGAAGATGTAGCTTAAGAGGAAGATTAAAGCAAACAAAATTCAGCGGCG